CACAGCATCCATGACGATGAGTGGCAATATCTACGCAAAATTTTGCAGCAGCATCAAAAATAATCTGCATTGGTAATTAACAGATCACAAAGGACCAAAAAAGTTTAAGAATCAAACTTGACTAAAAATACATATATCAGATCATACATTAGATAATATATGTGTTAAAAATACATATATTAGATCATATGTAAATGCATAGCATCAAAGTAGAGACTGAATTTTTAACACATGAAATGCTCCAAAGCCTGCCTAGTACAGTTTGAATAAGAAGCATTCTTCTGGAAGAATTCTACATAGGAATGGCATATGAGCAGATATAGAATAAATTTTCAGAGATCTGACAGGAAACCGTGTTATTGCGTGCCATTTTAATTAAACCTTTGAATCAAACCTTGTAATAGATTGAGAGATTGAGATCAACATCATAGAAAATAACTGGAGAAGATGAAGTAAATATTGTATAAAGTATGTGACAATTATGACTGGAACTGACAAATTTGGACAGAATTCTAGTCTTTTGTTTACGACTCAACACGAGAGTGCCTGACAATCATGTAAAATTGCAAGCTAAAAAGAGGTTCTATCAATGGACCATGCAATCTTCAAGAATCACATGTTGTTTTAGTTATTCTCTATCTCACATCCTATTATAGCCTGTTATATGTTGGTTCATCCCATTAGAGAATGTATTAATAAATATTCAGAAAGATGGAACAGATTCCTTCAAACTGGCTCCTTGCATTCTTGCCAGTTGCTTGTCATGCATCAGCAATATGTGAATACCCATAACTAAGCCTGTATCTATAAGAAAGGTTTCTGCCTATTTACAAGGCACACCTACCAAACAAAGAGTTAAATTATACTACAATGTCTCAGAATACACACACAGAAGATATGCTGCAACGACCAAGAGGAGAAACATGTTCAAACAAATGAAATAGATTATTGTGGCCTCTAATCTTCAGATTTTGCATTGCATCAAACCAAGGTATGCCTCCAATTGGTGTCAGAGTAAAAATTAAGTGCATAGGTAAGGAGCCATAGGATAAAGACCTCCAAGATAACCATATAATTTTCTTTAGAAGACTTGAGTACCACTTGTCAAGATGAAATCATTGGAAACAAGACAGATCTATCCAAATTATTAACTAGAGATATCCCATTTAGTAGGTTGACATGATGAAATGAGACTTTAGTTGATGGCCAAAATTTTTTAAAACAGTTCCTGTCAATATATTAATTAACCAACCAACAACATACTACTCAAACAAAAAAAGTTGGACGAGTAAAAATCATTTAATGCAACGCATTAGATTTATGTTGCAATAGATGCAAAATTGTAAATAAAGAATGCAAATATGCATTTTTGAGAGTTGAAAATTGAGTTATCAACAAAATGCAAACTCATGGTGGTTTTGAAAAATGACCTTCACAACTTATTAAAGAGATATTAGTGAATGACACACGAAAAATGCTTCATTTTTTAGAAAACTATGATTCTAAATAACCCAAACTATAAAGAACATAGATTGTGCACGATTAGGATCATTTGTGATAACTGATAACAAGTATTGAACCTCAGAAATTAATTCACCCTCATCATTATACCTTATTATCTTCATCGTCAAGGCATTGCAAGCAGCGCTGCAACACATGATTTCCATTGAGATCCTTGATAAGGTCAAGAATTCCAGGTTTAAGAGCGGATTTGATAAGAGAAATTTGTTGTCTGGATTTGAGAGTCTCAATCAACTTCTGTACCACACGAGTACTGAAATATAGCAGTAATCCACTTAGCAACAAATATAGGAATAACAAAAGAAAAGCAAAGAATATCACTATAAAATAAAAGAAAATGAAGAATTTAACCATAAATGAAGCACTAACCCATATGTGTTTAAGGAAATCCTCACTAGCTGCCCTGCTTCTTTGGTCACCATGAGAACAATCTGCAGTCTTTGTTCTTCGGAACACACATCCATCAACTTTTGCACAAGGTAGTTTCCAAAGGGATCCATCATAAGTTCAACAATATTATCAATAATCTCATTGAATATTATTTGCACATCTAAACAGCTTCCTTCTTCAAATATGCTTTGTAAGAACCGACAACCATTCTGGTCCTTGGCCATGTAATATATACTTCCTAGAAACTCAAGCAAGGAATAAGGACTCGGCATCAGTATCACATTTTCTCCACGAATTTTATCAAGTTTATAGCTTTTCTCTTGGAGGTTTTGCATTGCAATCTCTTTGAGAGACTTTTTCTTATGACACTTGAATGAATCATGGCCCTTGTTGTCAATAACATACTTCAAATCTCTTTCGTTAATGATGACACTGTTCTTTATATTCTCCTCAATAGGAATCTTACTGTGCAAGAACCTAGGAGAACTCAAAGAAGCAATGACAGGTCTACTTCCATTACCATCCATTCCACATTGCTCTGAGCAAACAAAAGGATTACCCACGTAGGGCCTAGTACTTAAAGCATTCTGTAACAGAATTCCCCTATTATCCAAACTCCTACCCTGTTCCATTCTCTGCTCCAAAAGATAGTTTCTTTGCTTATTGTGCCAACTTGATTTTGAAGACAAATCATTTGACTGATTGTAACCAATACTATAAGATCCCAATGAATCGCCCTTTTCGTTTCCACCCTGCACTCCAAGCAATGTGGACCTGACGACATCATCACCATCAAAACACATTGAAACTTGTTGTGGAGAAGAATGAAACCCTTTGTTAAAACCTTCATATGAACCATATTTTTCAGCACTATAAGAAGAAACATCACCAAAACTAAAGCCAAGACCATCTGGGTCCCTCTCAAATCTCCTCATTTGACCAGAACTATCTCCGTCTCTTTCTTCATCTCTAATATGCATTTGATTTAGATTCTCACACAAACCAAAACCATCATCGACCAACTTCTTTTCATTGACATTCTTATTTCTACAATGAGAATCAGGTAATGATTTAGAATCCAACCAGAGTCCATAATGACGAAACTTGGGTTGCTGTTGGTCTTCAAATGGTGAACTTTCTTCGGGTGAAGAAAACCCATTAGAGAAAGAGCTTGAAGCAGAAGGAGAAACTCTACTCATTGGTGAATGGTATTGAAGATTGAGAAATGGAAGCGCTTGAGGGATCTCAGTCAATAAAGTTTCAAGCTCACTATTTGTCTTCATGTCCCTTGTCATCCTCATCTTCTCTTCCTTCTCACCCAGTTTAAACATCTTCACAAAAACTTAAAGAACAAACCTTTATAGATACAAAGAAAATATTTTTATAGGAAAAAGAAGAACCAATGTTAAAACCCAAAACCCACATATGATTTTTTACCCTAAACGAAGTTGATAAAAGAGAAGAATACAGAAAGCTCACAAAAAAAAAAAAAAGAAAAAACCGTTTCCTTTTCAGCTGAAGATTGCTCCCTTGGTTGCTTTGGTTTTTTTTTTTTTTTTTTTTTTTGGGGGGGGGGGTTTGTTAAAGAGAAAAACGATGGGGTTTTTTTTGTATCTTGACGGTTAGTAAATATGATGGTGTACGGCCAGGTTATGGTTGTTTAAGCTCACGCCATTGTAGTCAGGTGAGCCGGTACTAAACTGTAAAAGAAAAAGCAAACAGAAAAAGAAAAGAGAGAATCAAACTTGAAAACGTCAAAATAGATTTTTTCTTTTTTTCTGTTGAGTTGATTTTGCATTTTTTTTTTTTTTTTTAGTTATCGGAATGTAGATAGGCAAAACAGAATGTTAACCTTTTCAGCAATAAAGACTGCTTGATTTTCTCACTTGACAGTGTGATTAATTCACCTAAATTTTTTATGGAAACAAAACTACTATTTTGTTTTTATTGATGAAAACAAAAGAGTAAAGAATTTTATAGCCATTGGATGTGATGAAATTTTGGGACATTTTATGCTGTTGCTAAATCCAATGGTTAAGGTGCAGAGTGTGCTTTGATCATAAACTTGACCTTTGGATGTCCGTGGTAGAGACTAGCACACCACCAAATAACTATCCCCTCTAACTCTAACTTAATAGAATTAGCCAAAAGAATGAAAAGTTTGTTGTCACCCAGCCAAAGAAAATATAAACAAATCCATGTCATTGTCATGGTTGAAAGTTCTGCCCAATTTTTTCAATCTTATAGTTTAGGCACACAGCACAGGAATAAAACATCATTGATTCAGGAACTTTTTCTCATTGCCCAAATCAAGAAAATCAAAAGATAACATTACCTTTTTCTCGATTATTATGAATTTTTTTATCTTTATTTTAATTTAGCAACTTTCTAAAAGACAAATAAATAAATATAAAATATTGACCTTTCATTCTCTTTGTTACTAAAAAATTGTTCCCTATCTGTCACTGACTTGTACCATTTGCATTTGCCCAAAAACATAGCAGGGGCTGTGACCACTTCCACTAAACCAAGATGAAGACACAGACAAACATGTGGCACTGTTCAATCCTAAATTACTCATGCACTCTTTAAACGCCAAATTCCATTTGCCAAGCCAACAGCTGATTGTCAGACAATGAAATGATGAGGGCATTCATGGTCGGCTCACCACTCTCACCCCGCCACCTACGGATCTGCAATCTCCCCAGCCAATGTAAAAGGTAACTAACGAAATATGGCCCCAACTGATCACAACATTTTTCCATTCCCAATACATATACCAATTTACCACCGAGAATTGGGACAATTTTAAGATGCCAATACATCTTCCTAGCTCTTCCAAGGCGCAGTGTACCCAGAAAAAAACAGACTCTCAGATTTGAACGTAGGATGTTTTGTTGGTCAAATACTCTTAATTTATCAAGTGCTTGCCGGTTAAAGACCAATTATGCAGGTCAATTAAGAACTCGCACAAACAAAAGATGATAATCAATTTAGCAATGAGCAATAAAATTAAATGTGAAACGGCCCAAGACCTTCACTAAGACGACACTGGGAAACACAAGATTATGGACAAAGGAATTAGCATAGGACAATAGCTCAAGTTGACGTGTTAAAACCTAAAACATAATTCCGAAAACCCACAATTAAAAGGTCAAATAATATAATAACATCACCACTAAAGATAACCGAAAGCAGCAGGACACAGCGGAGCAAAATGACAGAGTTAGACCTAAGAAATTAAACCAAAGCAATGCTGCTTTCGCCACCAGGGGGTTTGCGTACACCACCAAAGTAATCTCGAGACTCTACCTTCCCATCAGCAAAGATGTTGCTGCCACTCATCTCCCGCATTTTTACTACACTAAGTGGTTTCTCAGCAGAACCTGGAGGAAAATCACCCTTAAATATGTCATTTCCTGAAAGCTCAACGAATTTCTGATTATAAATTTTCTTTGCTGTCTTAACCACGGCCTCCTCACTTGACATGCTACTTCCAGGCTACAAAAAACATCCAAGTTCAAAAACTAGTTAGATATTCAAATTTAATTGATGATGCAAATGACAATAAATAACAAACTTGATTATTTAATAATTGCAAAAGGCAAACTTCAGCTACAAACTAGAAAACAATGCTTCACAGTCCCCGTATAAGCAAATTTGAAGAACAAAAATGTAATTCCCCTTTTCTCAAAGCCCAACTATATGATTCTTAACTTACCTGCGATTCATTGCATAAGACACAATTTGTTCATGCATTGAAAATTTTCAGAAAATTAGGAATTTTAACATGCACTTACATTATGTGTATCAGGTTCTCTCATGTCAAAATTGTCCTTCAATGCCAATGCACGTACAGTTGTTGGCCTCGACAAAATTTCAGGTGGAGACACAAAGATGTCATGTCCACTAAGCTCTTTGCACTTTGCATCAGAGAGCTGCTTCTTCAACTTTGCATCTTCACTTTCAAGTGTTCCACTTAGTTCACGTTGCTTCGCCACTTCTGGAAGAGTAGTTGGCTTTTTGGGAGAAATACACTCTTCCTCAGCAAATGAGATGTGATTTATTCCAGCTAGTGCTTGCTGACAGTGCCAAACACCAAAATATTTAATGAAACTTTACTTGATACAAATATATTATGTTTTAAATATTTGTATGAACTACAGGTATCTATATCATCATAACAAAATTCGAAAATGAAAGAATTGAACACATACCTGGTACATTCGTAATCCTGTTTTGTTGTTTGGAATGGGATTGGCACTGCTTAGTTCTAACTCGTCATTTTCTCCATTGGCTGCAAGAATGCCACTACCAGTCATCTCCTTCATTTTATATCCAGAACAAGGTTTCCTGGAAATCGCAACAGATGACAGTTGCAGAGGCAATCAGATAAGCAGCATAAAACCAAAATTATGTAAGAAGATAACATTCGTTTCTCATTCCAGTATCAGCTTTGTCCCAGCCTTATTGACTTATCCTAACAAAATCCCCTCAACAATAAGAGAGAGAGGAAGAAAGAAAGAATCAAATAGAAGTTGAATTGAGTTTTACATAGAGTTCCAACATACAACGAATCTTAAATCATCCAACCCGGCAAAGCATTATGTAATTCCAAGCAGTAAGATCTTTTTATCCAATTCACCAAAGACATGATTGATTCGGTACGTTAGAAATAGTTACAGTTAGATCTCCTTCAACAGAGATCCGATGGATCAAGAATTAATGGTTGATAAATAACAGCTAATAAGGAAAGTAATCACGGATAATTGAACAGATCAAACTTGAAATTTTTAAATTACGCGAAGATTTGAAGTTAAAATTCTCTTTTTTCAAAATTTTCAAAACGCTATTTCAGATAATAAAGAGAGAGAAAATGGCAGACAAAAGTGTAAAAAAAAAATAATAATAAAGAAATTCTTGTAACAGTTCCCACCAAGTTTTTGAGAGTGTATCGATAAAAACAAACGTAGAGCTAAACGTTTAGAAATAAATAAATAAGAAAACTGAGGAATTTTTTTTAGGATAGGAAGAAGGCGGAAGCAGATCTCACCGTTTGTTTAAGCTTTCAAATTCTTCATCGGTCACTTGACCTCCAAACACCACTTTTCTGATCCCATCCGACGGCTACCATTAATCAAAAAAACAAATCAATCAAAAACACGAATGCATCAGCACCAAAAAAAACTAAAAAGAAGTACCTGGTGAGGGCGGGTGGAGCGAGCGACGGAGGCGGCGGAATCAGGGTGAGGAGTCTCAGACCAAGTGAGCAGATCTGCTGTGGAAGTGTGTGGTTTCCTAACTGGAGTGCTCCTCTCCATTTTTGTTTGGGTTTTCTCCAATTCCACTCTCAAAACTACCCACAAAAAAAAAAAAAAAAAGATTCTAATCCAAATAAAACGAAAAAGGAAAGCCTCTGATTCCTCTAGTCCAACTCCTCGTCCGCAACAACAAAGCAGGCAGTGTTTTTAGAGCTTTGAAATAGTGAAAGAAAATGGGATCTTAGAGAAACAGAAAGAGGGAAATGACGAACGTGTCCTACTCGAGACCCTCCCTGATCTATAGATTTCTGTTTCTTTTTTTTTTTTTTTTTGGCCTTCTGCTCTGAATTTTGACCTCTACCTACCCTTTTTTGTTTCAATTTCTTGGATTGCTTAAATATATTTATACAGTGAAAAAGGAGTAGGAAGAAGAGTAAGAGTAGCTGCTACTCAAATTTTAAAACAAAGAAAAAAAATTATTGAAAAAAAAAAGGAAAATGGAGAGGGACACAGATAGAGTGTTACGCTGGTGTAACTATAACCGTCGACTTTCTCTCTCCACCTCTACGTCAAATTTAAATTTGACACACTAAATATTGATTTCCAAATTAAATCACTATTTTTTTACAATAACTTGAAATTTAAAATTGGTTTCTATAAACTCATATAATAAGATTGGAATGTGATGTAGTAGGGTGATAAATTTGAAAAAGAAGAAATATTTTGTCTTCCACCATGTCATATAGTAAGAACATTTTCATGAATATTTCTAATTTGGATAACAATCCATCTTAAATCTTCCCCAAAATAAACAAAATATTAAATTTAAAATTTAATTTTATTAATTTATATAATTATAAATTTAAATTTAAATTCTAACACGAACTATTATATTATTCTCATACTAAGACTTATATTATGAAAAAATATGATAAATATTTTAAAATTTAATTTTATATAATACTACAAAAAATTTATATATACTTCTAAAAGAAATTAAACCAACGCAAATCTTTCTTCTTCTTTTTTTACTGTTACAAACATACATTGAAAAGTAATTTAAGATTACCTTACATTAAATTGGATATCATAATGGACTTAAATTTTGCTATAATAATGGAAATAAAAATTGTAATAAGGCGAAGTTACTTCATTGGGTTCAAACCGTAAAACTTTTGTGTAATTTAATATTTCCACAATGGAAATGGATGCATGATAATGAAACTTACTATACCCATAACTATTAACTTAACATGTTAAAAGTTTGAATGTGGTCGTCACTTTGGGATCAAATTGTTATTGCAAAAAGCGATTCTTTAAATAAAAAATATATAAATTTGACTTTCCTAAAAAATAATGAAAGTATAGTTTTACGCTTATTTAAAATTGTTATATTTGAATTAACTTTATCCATTATTATTTTATATACCATCAATGAATTTTTAAAATCCATAAATAGTGTTAATATATATTTTTATATTATTTTATTTTTAAATATATTTTTAAAATATTTATGTTAATTCTTTAATTTTATTTATATAATTTAAATTTAAGTATCACATTAAATATTTTACATAATTTATATATCAACGATAAAGACAAAGCTTACATAGTGCCAACCATCTAGTGTTTTTTTTTTTTTTTTTTTTATCTTCTTCTCTTTTTCCTTGTTCAAGAATTATAATGAGAATAATGATTGTATGGGAATAATTTAATTGTTAAAAGACAAAAAGTTTATGTATTTTTTTTAATTATTTTTTATGAAATTATAAAAATTAAAAAAACTATAATTATATTCAAATATTTCATTCATTTATATAAAAATTTACTAAATTAAATCATCAACAAATAAATTAATAAATCAACACATGATTAATAAATTAAACATAAAATGAAATCAAATTCATATATAATAAAATTTGAACTTGAAATTTCGATATAGCAAAATCTTCTTATTAACATATGGTCAAATTTTATTAGCATTTTAAACTAACTGATAAATTACATTTTCAAACTTTTTAAGATTATTTTTTTATTTTAATCATATTTTGGGAGTTGGGAGTATAAATTGGCTTTCCTTGGCAATTGATTTTTCGACAGTAGTGAAAAAATATAGCGAGCATCATTGTTTGGGTTCCTCGTCACCCCTTCCTCCATTCAATGCAATTTGTTACATTAGAACCCAAAGCATTCGTGGACGACCTTTTGCTATGTTCCCCACGTACGGTGAACGTTAGAATTTGGATATTTGATGACGTTAGATAAGTTTTGTACTTAATAAAGAATCTAGGTAGTTTTAAAGAATGGATTTCGTTTTATGCTTATACATTTTAAAATTAGTTTAGATATTTAAGTTCATAAAAGTTAAAATTTCATTTGATTTAATATTAAAAATGCTAAATTTTTTATTTAGGTGATTAAAATTTGATTTTTAATAATTTCAAATATTCAAAAAGTTTTAATTCTTAAATCTTTATCCTAATCTTTGGATATAGTAACCAAAACAATTGCAATTTATTTCAAATCCTAAGCTTCCAAGTTAAACAAACAATTAGAAATTTTGTTTTGAATTTCAAATCTTTAATTAAGATGTTTATCTATCCATTAAAAAACTTTGAATAAATCCAAATTCCAGTTGCCAAATAATAAGCCACAATAAAATAAAAGCCTTGGGTTGAACAAGACGAAATAAGACGTACTGTTATATGATTAAAAGCAAATGGCGGGCAATAAGCTAACCGCTTATACTCTTTTCGTTAAACAAGTAATAATGTTGGTAGTTATCCGTTAGAATTAAAACCCCAATAAGCCTTAGATTTTTTAAACTATGTTTTTCTTAATTATTTTTACTATTAAAATCTCCGTCAAAATCCTAGACGTCAACAATCAAACTTTCTTGGTTTTTTTTTTTTTTTTTGGATAAACCAAAAGCAAAAAGCTTTTAAAAGCTCAAATCTCCCACACAATTCTTTTTCTCCCTACTTTTCTTTGACTGAAGACCAAAAGGAGAAAAAGTCTTTTGGGTTGGAGCAAGTGAGCTTTCTGCGTCCATGTCTTATGACATATGTCCCATGTTGTTAGCATAATCGCTTAACAAGACCTAAAAACTCCACCGATCATGTATGAAATAATCATGCATGTTTTGAGGGTATGTATGCTTGATAGGAAGCTTAAGGAATTGGGATAAATTGAATTGATGCCATTGGCGGAAGGCAAAGGCAAGCAAGAAATCTGTATTGGAGGCTTTGAGTAAAAAATAAAAAAAATATATGAAATAAATCATAATTTATATTGATACAAAAATACAAAACATAATTTTATTTTTGTCAAATCATGTATAATTTTTATTAAAATTTTAAATTATATCATATTATTGTATTGTATTTAAAATTGACAAGCCTAAGGACAGAAGCCTTGCCGCCTTGGTTGGTTGTTTTTAAAAGCCCTCTTGCTTTCCGTCAAGTTGTTTAAAACAGAAGTAGGTAGCTATGATGCGATGGTGAAAAGTGAGGCAAGCAAAACTGGTGTCGGAGGTTTAGGTATATAACTTGAAATCTCATGTCTTAGGTACTAGAGCGTTGCCTGGGCTGTATTGCATCTCAGTTAACTTGAAAAGTAATGGTATAATATTATTGCATCTCAGTTAGGTACTAGAGGGTTGCCTGGGGCTGTATTATTATTTTTTTTTTTTTCTAATGGAGTAGTATATTACTGTAATAACAACCATCACAGTCATAATCAACTTTATAGATCAATAAATAACTTGGCACACATTTTTTTTTTTGGGTAAATTATAGTCGGTCTCATAGTATTATAATTCATGAATAAAAAATTATAAATACTTAATCAATAATAAATAAACGTATCAATGCTATCATATCTGTACCATGAGAAAAGATAAACCATGCATGCCTCGTAGGAAATGCTTTAAGACTTGAAACTACTAAATTTCCTTTATAACCCTTTTTCTCTTCCATGGAAAATAAGTAAGCAAAATTAAGAAACCCATGAAAATATTTTCACATTTTCAATTAATAAAAAGCAAGTAATTGGATCAAAATTAAAGGAGTAAGCTCTAGCTCTTCAAATCTCACTAAATTTTGTACTAACAAAAATTAAACCTGCAAACAAATAGGATTTGAAATCAGGTATTTATCAAACAAAAAGCTAAAAAAAATTAAAAAAAAAACATCTTACCTGAAAATCTCCATGAATTTTAGATATTTTTGGTAGATTTGGAGCTTAGAAAATTCTAACAAACACATTTTTTTCTATAATAGTTTGCTGGTATCCTAGGTACAATAGGCTTTGCTATAGTGTAAATTGAAGCAAGGCCTATACTGTATCACCAAGTTTATCTCCATCTAAAATCAACATTTTCACCAAGTTTAAAATACCATTCACATAATAAGCATATCAAAGCACCAAAACACATTATCCTCAAAGAGAACAACAAAAAGAGAAAGCAAGTCAATCATACCTAAGATCAAAATCCAACCAAAAAAGAGATTACTTTGCTTCATCGACCCAAACCTTGTCGTTGGGCTTGTTCTTCAAGACGTAGCAATTCAGCAAGAATACCCTTTACACAAAATATCTACATATATCTACATATACCCTTTACCTAGACCTTGTTGTTTGGCTTCCCCTTTCTGCCATCTTTGCTCCCTAACCTAAACAAACCTGGCTCAGTTAAAGTGAATACAAAAAATACCCTTTACACAAAATATCGACATATATTTTAAATAGCATGTATTTATGTCCCAACAAGAGCATCATTGATGATAAAAAAATTTGTATTTAAATTTGTCAACCCAACAAATGGAGACAAAAAATTAGTACGGAAGAAAAATGCTAGGAGGATTATGAGAGACTGGTGAACTCTGCAGCTTAAAATTCAGTACACCATGATAGCTTCCTGCCACTTCTTTTTCTAGCTACCAAGAATCTAAGATAGACCTTCAACTTGGCCATTTCCTTAAACTCATGCTGCTTTCGGTTGATATATCTAAATCCAAATCAAGATTTCACATACACCCTTCCATAAGTAGATGCTAAAAGTAACACAAGCAAGCTATGGCTTTGATTTTTTGGCATAATCGATTATATTTTTGCATAACTAACCAAGATGTCATTGAAAATAAAAACAGTTGTCCTCCATTTGCCAAGAGATTTGCCCAAAACAAATCATTCAAGAGCAGCGAGCTTTCTGATTTAAGAACAAAGTCAAGTAAAAAAGAAGCTGAAGTAGTTAGAGAACCTTCCCAGAAACATCTAAAGAGGCTCACCATGCAGTGCTCAGCTCCAATTTCCATCATTCAGGCCCATAGCCTTGCGAACTTGATGGCAGTAAACATTTACGAATTAAAGCCATGTGTTCTGTAAATGCAAATGGTAATGACTTTACATCAAAAAGATCTTGTTCTGTACCTCGTGTGGCAAAGATAGAAATTAATTCTTCCAGAAGCAGAAATCTAGAGGAGAGAAAGCTAAATGCAACATCCGTAATGTCTGCTACAAATAAGCT